GGTCTGTCTGGGTCAGACCCAGCCACCTACCAGCTCTACGTCAAGCTAACATCCTCACAGATCTGTTCTGCAGCTAACAGCCCAGGTTTTCCCCCACAGAGGCCTTTCTTCCCTACTTCTATGTTAGAAACACTTTCAGGTTTATTGGGTGCATTCACAGAAGTACAACCATGTTACTCATCTCTGTGTTTAAGACAGAGATAACTTTTCCTTTACCTTTTTCCTTTTTTCCTTTTTTCCTTTATTTCCCTTTTTTCCTTTTTTCTTTTTTTCCTTTTTTTTCCTTTTACCTTCTGCCTTCTTCTTTTTTCCTTTTTCCTTTTTTTTTTTTTTTTCCTCATTTCCTTCCCTCTCCCTCTCCTTCTCTTCCCAGTTTTTCTCCCCTTGTCTTGGCCTCTGACAAATTTGTTTTCCATTCTTCAAAGGATTGTCCAGTGATACTGATATTTGTTATGGTCTGTGTTGTATTTTTACAAACATTTGGAGCACAGACATTCACCCTACTGGTCTTCATCAAGAAACAAGAGAGGCAAAAACAAAGACAGGTTTGAATTTATGAAACTATTAGATGAATTTTGCTTTTTCGTCTAGGGTGATTTGTACCTATGCTTGGCAGATCGCTGGCTTGTACTGTGGGAGTTTCAAATACCAAGACTTTTACTCTTCTGTACTTGCTAATAACCACTTTCTCTCAGCCATTACCTCACAATTCAATCTTCGAGTAGCATAAATAAACAGAAATTAACTACCCTAAAAATTCAACCTGTAGCCATCAAAGTTCAGCAAGTCTGGATGATCAAAACTCAGGCTTCAACACCCTGGATGTGTTAACAGAGCTCAGAAAACAACACCAGGCCAAAGATTTAAATGTCATAACCAACTTACAGAACTTAAAACTCTCAAACATCTCTCTTACAACTCTAAAACAACCTCCATAAATCTGGCCTCCTCTAATAAATATTTTGGAGAAACACAAGCTTGAAAACTGTGGCCTGAGCTTACCACGATTTATCATACAGTCATTAGTTTTCTGGGAAGCACTCATTAAAAATAAGACCTTCCTGATGGCCACATGAGTATGCAATGAAAGTGCATGTTCCTTTTCCTGCCACCCTCATTTGATTTTTTTTTTTTTTTTCAGTTTGACAGCACCCTTGCAAGTGTTGGAGCTGCCAGTATTCCCAGTGCGGGACTTGTCACTATGCTTCTGATCCTTACTGCAGTGGGTCTCCCTACCCAGGACATCAGTTTGCTTGTTGCTGTTGACTGGCTTTTGTAAGTTGTGCTGACTCCACTGCTCAGTGCAGAAAAAGTAGTGAAGTGATGCTTGTCTCTAGTGCTTTTCAGCCATTGGTCTTAAAGAACTATAAGACTCTCCTCTGCAGTTGAAGCAAAGAAGATAGCTTATTTGATGAAGTAGGAGACACTGTAAGCAGCTTCTCAGCTGGTACAAGTTGTTATACAGCTGCTGAAGTCAGTTTCTATGAGCCAAGGATCTTCTTGTAAGACCCTTGGGCTCATGCTCACACATTTTCTTCTTCCTAGTGATGCCTCTCCACCACAGACATAGCTCAAGAGCAGTTTTCTGTTCTTTGCTTTCATATTACTGTTTCTTACAGTTCTGATCTAAAATTAAGGATGAATGCTGAAAATGCAGGTTCCATAAGGATGTTGTCAGCAATTTACAGGGTAATTTGGGCAATTGTAGTATCAAATGTTTTATGTTCATAGTGGGAAAAGTCTATTTCTTTTTGTGCATAAGAAGGTAAAACACTTTTAAGGAAGAAACTCTTCTAGAGCAGGATATAAACCAAAGACAAAGGAGAAAGCAAAGTGAAAGAGAGAAGATCATTCCCTAGTTTGATTTTACTGACAGATTCCTCAAACTGGAAAGACTGACTTTCATTCTGAAGGACTTGAAATCAAAGTCCTTCAGTGCCATTGCAGGTCCTCCGACAAGCAGCAACTAACCCACAGATAGTTTTCCAAGGCTTTTGTTCCTCAACGTTTGAGTACAGAAGCTGTATAGTAGAGACAGAGCATATGCCAAGCCACATCCTTTCTCATGTTGCCATTTGACAATGTGGATGTCTTTCTGTCACCTGTGCAGAGCCGACAGGGACTCGGTAGTCATCTAAGCTGCACTGGCCTCTAGAGGCTTTTATATTGTCCTGTACTGCTGCAGCGCAGTATATTCTGGTCAACAGCCATCTCTCCCCTAATATTCTTTTACGTAGTAAAGATATATGTTTCTGTTGTGCCAGCTGTGGTGCCCAGAAGGGGAGATGTAAGCATGACCCTGGACTATTTGTGCATTTCCTCCTACACTAGCAGCCTCAGCTGCCTGCTTGTGGTAGCTTTCAGTCCCAGATACACTGCTAAAATTATGCAAGGAGGAACAGCAGAGTTGAGAATGTCAAGATAAAATAGAAAATGAATTTTCTGATATCTTTTGGCTTATTGAGAAGAATTCAAGAACTTGGTCAATCCTCTGACATGTGTTTTGGATGTTCTGCTATGCTCCATCTGTTATTACCTATTTTGTCACTAGGAGTTGTGAAGAATAGCACACAGCTCCGACTTCTGCTTCAGGGAAAAATGAAAGAGGAATTTACAGCTTGGGAAGGCAAAGGGAAAAGATGACTTACATACTTTATATATAACCGAATATCATGGTATCATGACTCAGAATGGTGAAATGAAGCAGGGTTCAGGAGTTGGAGTACAGCTGGCGTAGGGAAAAATGTGATATTCTGTGGGCTAATTATATTTATGAGGTCATGGTTCAAAACAGGAAAGCAATGTAGGAATCTGCAGCTGGGAGGAGAGCAAAAGGGAGGTGCATACTTATTTTAAATACATGTTTTTACTGGCTCTTAAACTATGGCAGATAGGTAGGTTTCTGTAGCTGGTAGGAGGATGTGCAAAAAGAGCCTGTGGTTTGTTTGTTTTTTTAGGGAAATGTCATTTTAAAATATTCCTGTGGACTGAGAAGCTCTGCCCCCACTAGGAAACCTCAGAGCTGTAAGTTTACCAGCAGTTCTGATCCAGTAGTAGGTGTTGCATTTCAGGCTCGGCTTCAGCAACGTTGTTACCGCTGGCTCATCCAGCCCTTCTTAGGAAATAAAAACATCTGTACCGTGGAGCTGTAGCAGCGATGAATGTAAGTATAGGAAGGACAGTACTTCTAAAAGAAATGTTTCAAGGTATCTTTCCAGCATAAATGCCAGGCAAAAGAACCTTTCAGCGCAAGCGGTTGGGTTTGGGTCCTGCTGGCCGAACATTCAGCAGGGCAATTGCAGTGTGATTCGAATTGATAGGCAGAGGGAAGAGGGAAGAGAGTTAAAAAAGGAGATGAAAAGCTCTGTGTCACGCCACTAGTGCTGCAAAGTTAAGACAAAGTTTGCTGGTGGAAGTGTCATGCTAATTAATATAAGTCAAGAGCTCATAGCTTTATTTTCCATCTTCCAGTGGTTGTGTTGTGGTAGCCATGATGATCTAGTGAGATATGGAAAATGATGCTGCTGATATTGTTGATGTTAAGAAAAGGCACACCAGCCAAGTTTTGAGCAAGCTTTTGGGCACACAAATGAGACATAAAGAATATCTGAAAAGAAAGGTCATAAAAAGATATTTTCTTTACTTACAAACATTGTCTTCTTCCATTAGATCATCAAATAATGTTACAGCAGTATTTCTAATAGAATGTAGAAGAGAAAGTTAATAAAATATTTGAGATGCAATTCCAGCCACTTTTCTGGAACCAGTGTGTAAATGCAGCCAGCCACGTAGAAATATTTGGAGTAGCTCTTTTATAACGTTTCAGTTCCAGATAATGAAAGCTTTTAAAAAATGTCCTACTCTATGAGTTTTTCAATATTTCTGATGAAAGAAAATACCGGAACATCAATTGATTTTACAGTGCTACCAGCATCTGAATCCGTGGGCTTACCAAAACCAGTTTTGCACGATTTGGTCATGGTGTAACACAAAGCTGACTTTTGATTGTCCTTAAACTTGGCACGCTTTCCTTCAAATTGGAGCCAAAAGGTTTCTGTATCAATTTCTTTTCAAGCCTCACCAATATCTAGAGATTAGGTTGCTCAACCTTTCCCCCTCCCACGCGTACATACAGTGTGAGCTCTTTCACCAGGCAAGTTCCCCAAGATTTCACAACTTCATAGTTTCTCAGTTTAGAACTAAGCACAACACAGCAGTGACATTTAATAGGACAGCAATTATATGCCAACAGCTGGAATAAAACCAGCTTATTTTGCTCTAGCCAGAAGCTGGCTACTTTCCAGATGTGAGACTGACAAGCTTAGCAAATATCATAGCACAGTCTCAAATACAGTGGTGTTTTGCAGTGAAGAGAGAGGAATTAGAGAAAATGGACAGCTGATCCGGTATTTAAACCTTCACTTAGCAACTCAGAAATAGATTGCTGGAGTTCTGACTCTGTTCCTTGGCTTAGATCTAAATTCATAATAGTCAAACGCAGTCGATGTCTAGATGTTATGAACAGGGCCTTATATAAATTGGATTAAACTGTAGAAAACAGGAGCTCTTGCCTGTAATGACAAAGAAGCAAGGCAAGTTAAACATGTGACCTGGTCTTTGATTTAGCAGGTGTGCTGAGATTTTAATCTCCTTTCTGAGGTCTGTTAAGGATAGACCGGGTTTTCAAGCTTCCAGGGAACGGGAGTAACTTTTTTGCATACTAGCATGCTATATAGGTACTATGACATTAATAACAAGGGGGCTTGAGGCAGTTGTTCTCATTTCTGTTCCTTTCAGCTACATTGTTAATCTTCCAGTTCTTCTGATTTATGCCAGTTTGAGGAAATTAGGTGTTAACCCTTATCAGGATTTAAAGAATTACTTTCCAGTTATTCCAAAGCCCATTCTTACCAGATGTTTGAGAGAGAACTTTGACTTTCAGTCCCACTATTCCTCTTAGAAGCTGTTATGGACAATGCAGAAGTAGCTGTGTTGGGGGAGTCATTTGCTAGACTGCAACTTTCCTATGTTGATTTTGTTTGCATCGTTCCAGCATAGTTGGAATTAACTGGTTGGTTGTTTTTAACAAAAGAATAACTACGGTCATCTTTGTTCTTCTTAGGGTGTCCTTTAGCCCAAAAGAGGCTGACGGATGAGACTTTGTCCTTCCTGTTGGAAGGAACTGACTTGTTTTCTTTGGTTTGCGCAGTCTAGCCTGTTCTGCAGCAGTGTGCAGTTTGTGTTGCTGAACCTCTTGGCTAGTAGTACATGCATATGGGCTGGCCATCTCCTCAGATGACCCCGTCAGAATTTGAATTGTCCCTCAGTTACATTTATGTATTTTCTCCACCTTGTTTTTTGGTGTTCTATACTATCCCTCCGTCATCTGGCACCAGTGAGTCCTTTCAAAGTTTAATACCACTCAACCAAAGCAGGTGTTGTTTCTGTGGAGCTATATTGTTGGGTTCAGTATATTTGATGGTCTTAATTAAAAATTAATTACACTTGGAAAGTTATATTTTCCTATTCTGCCACTCCGAACAGGTTTAAAACACACTTCACAGGCATGGGATGAGAACTGTATAAAGCCTTTTATTTGTGTGAAACAAAACTGGAAGGATGTTTTCCTACCATGGGTTGTAGGTTTGTTCGGTTTTTGGGGGGGATTATTGGAAGGGATTTTTCCTTCTGGGTATTCTTTTGGTGACAAAAAAAAATAATGAACTACTTCAACTAAGGTATTACGCCACAAACTCCAAACATGTAAGCATGATGATGTAGAGAGGGAGAGGAGAAACTTGAAAGGGATTACAGTTCCACAGCTGGGAAAGGCAGATTTACAGGTATTTAGAACAAAGATGTTAAAAAGGGCTCAAAAGTTTCTATGGCCATGAACAGGCATGTGTAATAAATGTTTATAGGTTTGGGGTTTATATATTAAGGTTTTTTTTCTCAGCGTTCTACAGCAAAAGGAGATGTCACACAAGTCTAGTACCAGAAATACCATAAAGGGTGTTTTCAAATTAATCACTGTCATGGGAAATGAGGTCTTACGTGCCGGCTTTTCGGTCACTTGGCAAATGTCCACATCGTTCAACCTGCCCATTTTGTGCAAATGAGTCTTCGTGGATATACCTCTGAGTATTAGTCGGTGTAACGCTAGACTCAGTTGCTGCGGTAGCGTTAAACTGCAGTCCTCAGTCAGGTGTTTTTTCAGATTCTTACGTTTAGTTCAAATATGAAGAGGCAAATAAATTTGTAAATTATTTTGACTTGTGTAATATAGCTTACCTGCAGCAGGAAGGGCAGCAGGAGCCCATAGTCCTGCAGTGCTCTGTTAGACCATTTCCCATTTTTGCAGGATTTTGATCAGGTTTGGGGCAGAATTCTGAAATCAGGGAAAATCCACAAGCAAGAGTTCACTGCTGACAGATAGAGACATGCTCTGAAAACAAGAGAGGAGACAGGTGGCGTGTCTGTCCGATGGCATCCTGTCCAGGAAGTGCCAACAGACACGTTTCGCTGTAATTAAGCTTGTGAGCCTCTCTTGGCACCCTCCAACAACGAGAGGCACTCGTTACTGAAACGCTGTCGCAGGCTCGTCATTTTGTAGGCCATGACCTATATTTGGCTGGCTCATATGCCAAGCTCTGGCACACAGCCGTGTGAGTGGGCATGCTGCCATGCTGACAGATGACCGTCTGTAAAGATGGTGCCAGGAGAGGAGACTTATGGAGATATTTCAGGCATTTTTTTCCCTCCACTGTAATTTGCTCACTGAAAATAAAGGGAGAGGCCGTTTGTTAATCCGTCCCAGAAATGAGAACACTTCATCAGATCCAAAATCCTTTTCTCTGGCTGCATTAAGTTCAGTGCTCTGATAAATTCAGATTAGACAAAGGGCAATGATGTGATCCTGGCACCCTGACATTGAAACCTCCAGCTCCAGAAGCAAGTGCTGGTGGGATCTCAGTCAAGCATAGCTCTGCAGTTTGGCTGTGTCTTCAGCGCAAGTTCTTTGCCAAAATCCATGAGTACGAGCAGCTGGGACATGGGAGTCTGCACATCCTCCCTGTCTGAACAAGTCCCCTGGGAAAGCAAGCTTTTGCAATTTCACTTGAAAGCTCCCATCTTTCTGTTCTAAAGATCCCTAAAACTTTCTGAAGTAAATGCAGTAACATTAGCAGGGCTACCATGCCCTACTTTTTCTTCCTCTCATGCCATTCAGCCTCTGCCTTTTGCTTCTTTTGTAGGGACCGGATGAGAACGTCAGTCAATGTAGTGGGGGATTCTTTTGGTGCTGGCATTGTCTACCACCTTTCCAAGGCAGAACTTGACACCATTGATTCCCATCATAAAGGGCATGAAGACATTGAAATGACCAAGACTCAGTCGATCTATGACGACATGAAAAATCATAGGGAAAACAACTCAAACCAATGTGTTTTTGCAGCTCACAACTCAGTCATAGTAGATGAGTGCAAGGTACCTTTCACCTTTATGGATATTGAGACATGTATATAGCACTGCATGCTTTATTTTATCTTGTTTTTTAACCTGCATGTATTTTTCAAATCGTTCTGCAAATAACAATGTGACAACAAGGTCCATGAACCCCAGACATTTTGAATGAGTTTGAGCAGTTCAAAAGATGGTTTTTTGCACTCTTCATAAAAGTTGTCATTTGAGGGGAAAAAATCATGTACATTGTTTACATATCAAAAGGCAAGATGCAGCGTATTATGGAATATGCCAAGACACAGAGAATATGGCATCACCTTCTGTGGACGTTTACTTAATTTTCTATGGCAACAGAGAACTTAATTGCCATCCCAAATGAAGGATCACTGCAATTCAGATACAGGTGTTGTCATGTGCTGACTGCCTTCCATGATATGCTGTTCAGAGATGGACATGTTGAATGCACTTTAGCGTCCGAATGCTCCTGCGCTCATACAGCATGCTTACGCTTTGCTTCCATCATCGTTCCTGGGTCATTATGACACAAACTTCGTCTTCTCTCTCTAATCCTTGCTGTAACTAACATGGATTATTAATAGTAATAATAATGTCCTGATCAGAGCAAAGTGAGCTTGAGAAACCCCACCAGTCGAATAAGAAAACAGTTGGGGAGGTCAGTGACTGAAAGTTTACAGAGCAACCACCACTAGGATGGGGCAGTTTAAAATCAAGAGAGAGTTTTTGAAAAGGAGGAGAAAGAAAGTGAAACAAGATGGAACTTTTAATTTCATAGTCTTTTTTTTATTTATCAATACTCTGGTCAGACCGTGTACACTGTCTTTGACAGAGTAGATTTGCCAGTGAGGCTACCTTAGCCATTTAACCAAACAGACTCACAGAATCACAGAATCACAGAATGGTAGAGGTTGGAAGGGACCTCTGTGTGTCATCTAGTCCGACCACCCTGCCGAAGCAGGGTCACCTACAGCAGGCTGCATAGGACCTTGTCCAGGCAGGTCTTGAATATCTCCAGAGAAGGAGACTCCACAACCTCCCTGGGCAGCCTGTTCCAGGGCTCCGTCACCCTCAGAGGGAAGAAATTCTTCCTCATGTTCAGACGGAACTTCCTGTGCTTCAGTTTGTGCCCGTTACCCCTTGTCCTGTAGCTGGGCACCACTGAAAAGAGTTTGGCCCCATCCTCCTGACACCCACCCTTAAAATATTTGTAGGCATTTATAAGGTCCCCTCTCAGCCTTCTCTTCTCCAGGCTGAACATGCCCAGCTCCCTCAGTCTTTCCTCATAGGAGAGATGCTCCAGTCACCTAATCATCTTTGTAGGCCCCTTTCAGGCCATGGTGTTTTTCTCAGGTGCCCTCTCCTGCCACCAAGCTCTGCCAAAGCACTTTGGCAGCTCACTCCAAGTACAACAAACAGCTTACTTTTCCTGGCATATTTTTTTCCTTTATTATTTTATGCACTCCATAAAAACCATTGCAGGTTTTCTTTCACATTCACGAGGATCTTCTGGAAATTATTGCCATTTCCCACACATATTACATATAAAAATCAAAAACATCAACAGACAAAAGGAGCCCCTCGTTCTGAGGGTACACTCTAACTCTTCATCCAGGTCGTTGAAGAAGTTAAACAAGACTCTCCTGCATCTTCCAGTTGCCACAACTGAGCCAGTATTATAACGGTGAATGCCTACGCTAAGTCCATTAGGAGATGACCATATATATTGGAAATTCAAGTCCTATTCTGTCAGTTTCACCTGTGTCTGGCCTGGCTGGAAATGTTCTTTAGAATATATTTTTTTTCTAATGCTTACTTCTAGATAATGTCAGGCCAAACCTGAATTTCTGGGGGAAAACGTAATACTGAATTCAGGAAAGAAAAAACTTTCATCTTATCCTCAAATTTTCCCTGAATCTTCCAAGTTGTTAATAAAATGATTTTTTAAATAAAAACCAAACATTTTTTTCTGATGTGGCTCTCCTCTTCCTCTTCTTTCCCACTCTTTTTGTGTGAGAAAAATTAAAGAAAAAAAAATTTGAAATGAAAAGAGAATAGAAATTACACAAAATTAAAAACTGCCATTATTTTATATTTCTCAAAAAAGGAACGGACACAGAAGAGATTAAAATTTGAAGGAAAAAAGAAACCCCCTGAAAAGAAAGATCTCATTTGATAAAAGATGTTTTTATTAAAAATAATTGTGTGCTTGCACACACACACATACACACACACGCACAGTTTTCAATTAATTTATTTTGGAACTTTTGGAAAACTGTTTTTCAGTGAAATAAACAGGACAAATTATTAAGACAAATCCAGCTACCATGTATCAGTCTGAATCAGGTTCATGGAACTAGATGCTGTTAATTTTACCCCCTTCCGGTCTCTCAGATTTGCACAGGGATTCAAGCCAGGCTAGAAATCAGTAGCCCGTTGATGCAACACTTGCTGCACTTTCTTTTCTCCTTCAGTTTCTCTTATCATTTCCCTCATCTGAGGCATGAGCTTACCTCAAAAACAGGGATTAATGGTGCTGTATGTCAGCCTAGGCACACCCTTTAATTAAAATTGGGGACCAGTGATTTCTGAGCTAGACGTGTTTCTCTTTTGTCATTATTTTAGGTGTGCTCTGCTTGCAGTTTCATTTTGCACTTCTAAATGCATGAAAAGAGCCAGGGTTTACTGGATTGAGCACAAGACTGACTTTGAGCAGGTCACTTGTCTTGTCTGTGTGTCTTGTCTGCAAGCTGCCAAAAGGATGTGATGTTATGGTCTACTTTATAAGCTATGAATATGTGCTGACATTTGCAAAGCATTTGGATCATGTAGAAGTGGTCTACAGCTCCCAAGTGTCAGAGTAGCAAAAGCAATAGAGTGTAGGATTTGGGGCTTCAAAAAAGCCAGCTGTTAAACCCGAACAGACGTCTCTTCATCCTGTCAAATCCACTAGTGGGTTGAAAAGCTCACTGCAACTCTGGTCAGAATGTGGAAAAGCTGATCTACTAGCATGTCCTTTCTCTTTGCTTTCTGTAATATATTCCATGTATAATGCTAGTAGTTTATAATTTTGCATGGTCAATGTGTATTTTTAATAAGTAGTTTACCTTTATATGGGGCTAGACTGGTTGTTATTGCACGATATTTTTCTGTTTTTTTAATATCATCTTTCACATGACTCCATGTGATTTTCATTTCTGAATAAGCTGTTCATTCCTATATTTGCATGTTTCCTCTTTTCAATTGTCTAAGAAAAAGCTTGACTTCGTTTCAAAAACCAGTGCATTTTGTCATGTTTCCATGTCCCAATGCTTCCATACATCCAGTTTATCCAGCATGGGGAATTTCAGCTCTGTAAGTTTTCATTTGAAGCTATGAAAGGTTCTCTCACAATTATAAAGATCTAGATCATTTTTGCAAAGTTAAATTAACATCTTACCTTTTTAAAATTGTTGAAGTAATTTGGCTGGAGCTATCTTTCTTGAAGCATGGGTTTGTTTATAGTTACTTCTGGGATGCAGCGTACTGGCCAGTGTTTGCTGTGAGTTGGTAGATCACTACAGGTCTTCTACCACACTTAAAACCTAAAAATTTTAGCACATAATCTTTTCAGGCATGAGTGATGTTTTGCTGTACTTTGAGAAAAATGTAGCATTATTATGAATTTTTGGTCTGACTATAGTCAAAATCTTTCACTACATTGTTAGAAACAGTGGTATGATGAACAGCAGTTTCACAGAGTATCTTTTCCTCCATTTCTTTAAAGGTGGTTTAATTGTAGGTGAGTTTGTATAGATACACATTATGATTATGCTGGCCTTGCATATTTCTCATGTCCTTGCATCAGCTATCCTACTTTGCTAAGGAATTCCCCTGAAAAAATAATGACTTTCTAAATCGAAAAAAAAAAAAAGGCAATCTGTTTTTTAAATAATCCAGAGAAATCTATAGGAGATGGAAAGGAGTAGAATCTGAAATACTTACTAAAATAAAACCTACCACAAAGGCTAAGAAAATATGGAACTTTCTACTGCTAATGTTTTCTAGTCAGTATAATAAATGAACAGGACCCTCACTATTTGAGAGTGTTGTGAATTCTGAATAAATACATTTTACATGTATAATAAGACATGGTGTATGTAATTCCTGTAAATATCATGATCTTCCATAGAAAAGTCATGACTTTTCTTGTCAAAGTGCCTTGTCTTTTAAGTCAGTTGTTGATGATAATTACTTGCAGGTAACACTGGCAACCAATGGCAAATCTGCAGACTTCAGTGTTGCTGAAGAAGAGCCATGGAAACGTGAAAACTAAGGGAAGAGATTACTAGCTCCATCTTTAATAAGCCCTGAAGCTATCTTCTGGCAAAAGATACCACAATTAAAGAAGATTTATCTTTTTTCTATTTAACATCTACAGTTTCTGCTTACTTAATTTTGTAACTGAAACCTAGCAAAGGTCTCATCGGGTCATGGTAGTGTCTTTGCCAAGCGATGATCCATAACCGTCTGTCTCCCTTGTGTTACTGTTTGGATGCTGCTGCTGCAGAGTGCTCCACGCAGTGCAGTGCGCTCTCACCCACCTCCCCTTTCAGTCAAGACACAAAGAATGTAAATGCTGTGAAACGGGAAGATCCAAGTGCCGGTACAGTTCACTACAGGGACTCAGGGTCGCAAATACAAGAGAAACATAACACCACGTAAACCTTCAAGTGTGGCCTACCTGATCTATTTAGCACTGTACTGCGAAAATATGTTTTGAAAAAGTTTATAAAGATTTCTATTTGTTTTAATGTTAACAAGCACTGTATTTTTGTGCCTAGTTGTACTTTAAACTGAACTTAGATCCAGGGGCAAGATTAATGCATGAAAGTCAATAAATTATCCCAGACATTTTGTTAGATCAGTACAACTAGTACTTATCACGAAGACAAGACATGAGATTTGTATGTGAATCTGACGTGCTTTTATCAGCGGTCCCAGGGCAGGTGCAGCCTTTATTTGATGATGAGGCTGTGCTGCTTTGCGACCACAATGCATCATACAATACAAGGCAGTATTATTGCAGGGGTGGTAGTTCCATCTATGCGTGATGTACAAAATACAGAATACCATGGGCTCAGTTATGCCATTCGTAATCAAAGTAGGTAGCACCCTACTATTCACCCTGCTCCACTCATGTCAGAAGGATTCCTCATGTGGACAGGACTACTCAAGTAAGGTACTACTAAGATTGATCACAGATGTCGTGATTGGGTACTCGATAATGAGCTATAAGCAAATTCTGGATACATTACTCTAAGAAACAGAGAGTTTTTGAATGTGATCGTCGGTAGCATTTGGTATGAAGTGAAAGCCATCTTTCAAGTATATGTCATATTTCAGAGAATGGCTATATCCTGAATTCATTGCTAAGCCAAATTCCATATAAGATTAATAGAATTTGTCCAGGGTTAGGACTGAATGAAGAATAAACCAGAATTTCAGGATTTAGACCAGTACGTTGAACATACATCTCTCTCTCTTTTGCAGAGTAACAATTCGTATAACTCTCTAATGTCAGAGAAATGTTTCTTAGGGCGCATGGCATCTGAATTAATGAGATGGTGTTTTCTCAACATAGTATAGGTGACTCATCCTGTCAGAAGAAATTACAGTCACAATAATCACCCTGTGAAGTGTTTTTAAAGGTGCTTGTTAATACTTAGCAATTTTAAGACACTGGTGAATGCCATTATACTCTTAGCAATGTTCTATAGCAAAGCTGAGCCATGCAGCCTTGGGAGGCTCTACCCACAGAACAAGCTTTGTGCAATTTTCATGGGAGCTCTCAGAGGCGCTCAGAATGAATCAGAATATGAGCATAAGGTGAACTTAAAAAAGGCAGAAAACAGAGTTGAAACATTTACAGAAACAGGCCATTCAGTGTCTGTGCTCAGACCTATCATGGGTTTAAACAGGAATAAAGTGTTTAACTGTAGAGTGGTATTTGGCTCTGTAGAAGCTATTAAAATATAATCTGATTTTGCTCATCTGCATTCATATAAATATCTCCAAAAACACAGAGAGACCCGAGCCAGTCAAGGCTACTTGCATGATTAACAATGTGCAAGATTAAGTCCATTGTCAGAGTATCTCTCATTTAAGCATTTGTTGTCATGGAATATTTTTCTTGTCATTGAATTTTTGTCCTTGCTTGCATGCCATGGCTACAATCCTAAGTGAAATGGCCTATATAATTAAGCAATTATTGAACCACTGTGAATTCTGTAGGCCTCTAGCATGTATTGGAGGTGGAGACCTTTTCCAGAGGCCTCGTGAAGCATCTTAAGGATTTTTTTTTTGTGAGGGATGGAATTGTATGATATTCAGAGAAGTGGTAGGCAGGTTGTCTTCTCTTTTCTCAGTCATTGGTATTAGCAAATCCAGAATTAGCCTGTAGCTGGCTGCTGCTTCTCCCAGTTGGCATTCGAAGGCATTTTTACCACTGGGTTATGTGCCAGAAATGTGCCAGGGGCAGTGCGTGGATACTCTAAAATGTTCCCTATTCTGACAGTGCTGGCTCACATCAGGTGGAATTAACTGTGACTTGGGTGGTAGTTATATCCATGAATTACACGCAGTGTTTACCGCCGTTTATATCCAGCATTCTCGAGCTGCTTCATGGCACAGCTCGCCCACTGATAGATGACTTTCCATCCTCTTCACTGTAGCAGTTTCTTAGGAGCAGCCACACCAATTACTTGCCTTGAAAGTAGCTTTAGGATACTGGTCTATACGCTTTTAGCTGTCCTGTGAAACTGTCCAGCAGTTGGAAACAAATAGGAATGCCAGCAACATGTGACTAGGCAGCTCCACAAAATTACTTATTGAGAAACACTTAGAATATGATTACACTTACCCACATGGGACACATTGCCCTTTGAAGAGTGCTTCTTTGGATGGAGCCTAGGGGAGGAAGGAACGAGAAGCTAGAGAAACCCCACCTGCGCAAGGGAGAATAAATTTGGGTCTTTTGATAGGACTAGAATAGCAGACTGTGATTTTAAAATAGCAATTCTGTAGATACAGTAACTCAGGGATGTTTCAAAAGATAATTACAATGGTATTTCTCTATTTAAATGTGCATGTGGGAGGAGAGATGTTGGTTTTGGTATACTCCTCTGCTTTTAGCCCGACTGAGTATTTAATGTAGTGTTACTCCAGCGCAGCACTCTATTTAACCATCAAAAAGCTTTCCATTTCTCTGGGAAAATGTAACTCACTCTTGGCTTGCATTTCTCGATTTGCTCATTTCACATGAGGCTGGGTTGCTACTTAACTAAATAAACAGAAAATAACACAGGGACCAGCCACTTCAGCTAATACAAGGTTCACATTTCAGCAGGCAGTGCTGGTTACTGGCCAGTCTCTTTCTAGTTTCACTGAAGTGAGTGTTGATGCATGAATTTGCATCTGGCAAATCTCTTGTATTTGTTCGCAGCGCTGGGGGGGCAAAGTTAAAGGAAAAGCACAGTGGAGAGTGATTTGTTTCCTGCATAGTTCCTAAACAAATTAACATTTCATTCTACATTTGTCTCCTTTGCTGCTCTGCCAGTTGCCCCCACCCTTGTCTGCGCAACTGTGATATCCCTTGGCCTTTGGACTGCTGACAGCACACTGGCACATGGAAAAGTCTAGACCAGGCAAAGACTCAGTTAATTGCATGCTTAATTAAGTATATATTTATGCATTTGCTTT